AGAAATAAACAACTTCCGTTTGGCAATCGTTCTTTGAAAATGACCTAGCCGTTCAATGAGTAATTTCCCCGCCAAAAATTTGAGTGCTCGAACACGAGAACTACGCACGCCTGGGGGTGAATTTGATAATTTTAAGTTGTACGTGGGTTAAGAACACCTCCTGAAAATTTCAAATTCCCAGCTTTGCTGTTTCCCGAGTTGGTCATTTTCCCGCTAAAAAATTTCACGGAACCGGACTTGAGAACCACGTATGACTGGGGGCTGAATTTGAAAACTTTAAGTCGTACATGGGCTGGGAACATTCCCTGAAAATTTTAGCTTCCTAGTTTTGCTAGTCCCCGAGTTAGCCATTTTCCCGCCGAAAAATCTCACGGGGACGAATGCGGGAACCACATACGCCTGGAGGCTGAATTTGATAACTTTAAGTCGTACTTGGGTTGCGAAGGTCCCCTGAAAATTCCAGCCTCCCAGCTTTGCTAGCTCCCGAGTTAGCCATTTTCTCGACGAAAAATCTCACGGGGCCGTACGTGAGAACCGAGCATGCCTGAAGGATGAATTTGATAACTTTAAGTCGCACATAGGCTAGGAACATTCCTTGGAAATTTCAGCCTCCCAACTTTGCTGATTCCCGAGCTAGCCACTTTCCCGCCAATAAATTTCACGAGACCGTGCATGAGAACCGCGCATGCCTGGAGGGTGAATCTGATGGCTTTAAGCCGTACATGAGCTGGAAACATTCCCTGAAAATTTCAGCTTGCCAGCTTTGCCAGTTCCCGAGTTAGCCACTTCCCCGTCGAAAAATTCCGCGGGGTCGTACGCGGGAACCACGCGCACCTGGGGGCAAAATTTGAAATGTTTGAGTTATATTTGGACGGGGAACATGACCTCAAAACTTCAGCTTTCCATCTTTTCTCGTTCCCGAGATATCAATTCTTCCGTCAAAACTTTCCCGCTCTCATACGCAGGGCCCAGACGTGCGTGAGGGATGGTACCGCGGTTCTGGAGTGGTATTTAGGTACACAATAGCAAAATCTCGACGCTGGAACTTGCTTGGTTGTCGAGTTGAAATACCCGGACAGACGAACACACATACACACAGACGGGGTCGTCTCAGTATGCGTTTTTGCAATTTGCATATAGACAAAAACGCATAAAAAGAGAGCTGTTGCACTTTTGAGCGCTCCAGGAACCGATTTAAGCCGAAAAATTGGTTACTTGTTATAACTGCTTCGAAAAACACCTCACTCCCTCAGCTGCCATTCACCGGATTTTTTCACTCAGTAAAAAATTCTCGCTGAATTCTTGTCTGAGACACTAAGCAGATAGGGTGGAAGTTTTTGCGATCTTCTTTAGCATTGTTTTTATGCAGCAAAACGGTTTTCAGCTACCTCTAGCTGCTGGCTATCTTTCTCGGCCAAATGCCGACTGAACCGAAGATGGGAGCAGTCCAAAATTTCAAGCTCATAATCCGATGAGTCCGGTGCGAAATAAAAAAAAAAGACTTAAAAATCTTACAAAGCTGATGTGTTCTAATGATAGCACATTTGATAAAAAATATTTGGAAGGGCTAGTGAAACTGAAACAGTAAGCCAGCAAACAAACTGCAGTATCAGATTTCTGTTACGGTTCCCAAGAATCATAACGCCAAAATTACCGACGGCTTTTCTCGGATCTGATAGCTTGATACTAGACGGCGGAGAACAATAGTCCGGCGTCAAAAATGAATCACTATATGCGGAGACATGAAGAATCGAACTGAAAACAGTATGGGTAAATAAAATTTAAATGTCTTCAGTGGCAAACTGGCAATTCCCCAAGAATGTGCAGCAAAAAATGTGTATTTGAAAATTACCTGATAGGTGAGCAGTTCGATTCTGATGAATCCGTAGTGGGTGAAATCCAGCGCGGCGGTGTCTTTAAGGTCTGAGCATTGGCTGCTACAGTGATCTTAAAGTACAAAGCTGTAAAATTTTCTGAGCCATGTACTAAGTTTTGTACTAAGCCATGTAACATTTTGAACTAAGTTTTCATACAGTGAAATAAAAATAATGGGCTTTTTTGGAACTCATGACGGTCCCCTCTGAATTTTTTTGTTCCCTGAGAAACGTTTCAGCGTTTCTCGATCACCGCGGAGTCCTCATCCGAGCAGCGGACAACTGTTCTCGATTTCTCTTGGATGTATTAGGCGAAGAAGTACAGCATTTTTTCCCACTTAGCGCAAACATCGGCAGTTGTTTCGGAATTGCAAAAAAAAAAGGCATGAATTTATTACTACAGTACATACCAATTTACACGGAGGCGAGCCAAATAATGATGATCCTAAGCCAGAATCCGCAAAACTTTCCGAGTGCCGAAATCGTTTGCGCTCTGGCGTCTCCAATATACTACTTTTTGAAGGCCACTGCACACGTCCACTGAAATCCACCGATGTTGGTCCGCTAAGCGCCCTTTCCATGTATCCCAATTTGGCACCTAAAAACTCTAAACGCAATTAATATTAATAATGATTGCTAATAATGTCGATATAATAATATGGACGCATAATAATGATAACAATAGCAACAACGACAATAAAAGGA